TTTTTAGCTGTAGTCTTACACTTCACCTCATTTCGGGAATTTGCTGTATGCTGGAAAACTCTTATCTTTATCATACGAAATTATTGAAATGTATGGGTTGTATACTTCGAGTTCAGTGTAATGTCAATTACACGCCATTTCGAAGGATACACACTACACTTTCTTTATATATGGTGCTGCCAGAACAGCACGAACATCCTTTTATGAGAAGTCATATTTGCTCTTATTACAGGATGAGAGAGTGCCGCTGACGTCCTGCGTAGTCTACCCCGGCCCCAGCCTAGAGCAAGCCTACTTCCTGAACCTCCACATAGATAACCGAGAAATCTTACGTGTCAGTAATGACGAAGAAGAAGTGACAGCACTGATGAGTTGATTTTTTTTATTTTCAACATTGTCTACGGCCGCAAGGCCTTTACCAACCACCGTGATTGAGCGGCTTTTTCTCGGCTTCAGTTTGGAGTTTATCAAAGAAGTTGTTCAGGCAGTACGACGCTGAAAATTTTAGTGTCACAATGCCTGAACAACTTTTTCTATTGTGGTCATGGTAGATGAACAAATATTGTTATTTGTGTAAGTTATTTTGCTTAAATATAGCTGGACCATTCTATGCCAAACGTCCCAGCCACTTTGGCGACCATCTGAATTGTATTTGAAAAAGAAATGTGCTGACTTACTGCGTTGAAAACAGTGAACTGCTAGAATATTCCAGCGAGAAAAAAGTTTTGTTCATGTGGCTGGCTTATAACTTCCTGGCATAATGCCGTCTGTGTGCTGTTTGTGGAAAATTTCTTTTTATAACTACCGCTTATTTTTTCTAAAGCAAATTCGGTCTACCTGTTAAGTAAATGTGCTTCTGTAACGTATTTGAAGCTCAATAATAATAGTGCAATTTTTTTGCCACATTCGCTTCCAAGAATAAAGCCAAAATGTGTTATGTTTTCATTTTTTATTGCAATATTGCTCTTTGTATGAATATCTGAGCAGTGAATGCTTACTCCACAGAAGGTATATTTTGAGGAAAAAATATCTTTAGACCTCTCAAGCTGCTGAAATATACGAGAAAATATCACGAATTTCACAAATTCGTGATTTTTGTCCGTATTGAGATGCAATTTGCTCCTTGTTGTGATACAATGAAAACTCATCATTATACCTAAATTGTAAGAAAATGAAATTCTTTCTGTAATGAAAATCTTATCGCAAAAAGGATAGGAAAGAGCGCTGTCAACTGAATTTTATTGAAGGTGTTACGAGCGTTTTTATACTGAGCACAAGACCAGGGCTCATCTGCAACAACACATGTGTGACCATGACAAAATAATTTTAACCGAGAAAAGAATACTCTTTTTCGAAAAAGATAAGTGATGGTGTACTAATGCATTGATCCTTGGCCTTCCTGATAAAGAGTTCTAAAATCTCTCATTTTTCTGCTTGCTTTTTTTTCAAAAAGCGTGTTTTATGAAACCTAGGACTACACTTAAATTCTTTACGGTGTCCGGCCATGAGACTACTATAGCCCTTCTTAACATTTAAAGCATGCTGTCTTGCTTGATCATTGAAGCATTGCCCAGTTTGTCCTATGTTTACTTTTCCACGTGTTAGTGGTATCTCATACACATTAGATTGGCATTCAGTAAACCTATTCTAGTGACGAATGGTGCAAGATTGACTATTCCTGTTGCTGTAAGTACATGCACTTTTGAAAGCTTGCAAGGGGTGGAAAACAACAATGTCATATCTGCTGGCTCTTTTCCTAAAATTGTGAGACACCTTATGTACGTAGTACCGTGTGACATGCAAAGGTCATTGGTCATTCTGTTTTTCTTTTGGTGCTGTTTCCTTTAACTTTACTTTCTGCAGGAGGGTTTCGCAAACGAGTGTGATGATGCTGTTGGGGTATTGGCTGGTGTTATCAGCCCAGGAGGGCTAAGAATGTTCTGCCTTTTGATAGTGGGCATTCAAAATTAGTAAAAAGAGGATTTGATACCACATGTATTCAGGCCACCCTTCAGAAGTCATGTTAACACAAGGGTGAGGTCAGGCTTAAAAACGAGATTAAAAGACTAAAAGATGCTCGATATACCCACAGAATCATCACACCCGTTTGCGAAACCCTCCTGCAGAAAGTAAAGTTAAAGAAGACAGGACCAACAAAAAAACAATGACCAAAACCTTTGCATGTTATACCACATCACATGTCTTACAAATAAAAAAATAGACAGCAGATATGATATTAACGTGTTGTTTTCCACCCCTTGCAAGCTTTGAAAAGTGTGTGTACTAAACAGCAACAGGAATAGTCAATCTTGCACCATTCGTCACGAGAATAGGTTTACCTAATGCCAATTTAACGTTTGTAGAAGTATTTTTTATCAGGTAAACCAATGATCAGTGCATCACTACACGTTCACTTATCCTTTCCGAGAGGGAGTATTCTTTTCTCAGTTAAGATTATTTTGTAGTGGTCACACGTGTCGTCGCGCATGAGCACGGTTCTTATACTCCGTATAAAAGCGCTCGTAGCACATTCATTAAATTCAGTTGACAGTCGGTGCTCTTTCTTGTCCTTTCTGTCTCTTCCTTAAGTTGTCGCGCTGTGACTAGCACACAACCACGATGAACCAACTAGCCCAAATTAAACTCTTGTTACGTAACACGTAGACCGAGTTTCGTATAGAAAGAAGGAGCGGTGCTTTTAAAATAAAATTTTTCACATACAACACCTAGACGGCATTCCAGGAAGTTCAGAAGGCAGCCACGTGACCAAATATTTTTTCCTCTCCTAAATATTCCAGAAGTTCACTATTTTCAATGCAGCACGAGTTTTTCGTATACATTTGAGATGGTTGTCAAAATGGCTGGGACATTTGGCATGAAATGACCCAGCTGTGTCATTAGCCGTAATTATGCATTACCTCTTTTGTTTTTTGTGCGTCCTGACTCAGTTTTGTGCTCGGTTTTAGCTTATTCTGTTTCTGATCATTGTATTGGTTTTTTATGTATTCGCTAAAGTTATATGTGCAAAAACACATATATGTTTGCATGTACATCATTTCTCATAACCAATTGTTATACATCCAGGAATACAAAGCTTAAACCACTGTGATTGTACATCCGTATATAATTTTGTGTGCATCACTTCTTGAGAACGATGGTGTACATGAAGGCGTTTATAGTGAAATCATGGTGATTGTATCTATTTGAAAGAATTATAAGTATATATTTGCCTGCATTTCATTCCTATATATAAACCGATTGTGTACATGAAGAAGTATTAAACTGGAAACCACTTGGATTGTAGATACTTGAAAGAATTCTAGGGATATATTAGCGTGTATTTCATTTGTACTCTCTATGTACTTAAAGTAGTATACTAAACTGAAACCAGTGTAATTGTATGTTGCAAAGAATTGCCAATAAAGTGAAACTGAAAAAATATAATAAACATTTGAGGTGTCGCGTGTGTAGTGTACGTATACGTGAACATGTTACACATCTGGTTAAAAAGTTGTGTGGCAGAAGAAAAGTTTATAAGTTTTATTTGCCTATTAAATAAATGCAATATGCAAGGGCTGCAAGGCTTCGTTTTCTGTAACGCGCATTATGCATATACTGTGAAGTATATATAGATCCAGCAGAAGTTCATACACGATTGTACGTGTTTATATTTTTGCCCACACGCAATGAATGAAGCTCGACAGGTGGTGCACCATTGATAATTAGGACCACTTTCTTCAAGTAGTGTGTAATCAGTGCATGCTGATATCTATTAGTGCAGTCTAAAAGAATACTGGCACCCCGGCCATGGGCACTCAACACCCTTGTGCACCCTTCTCGCACCCTCCTCAGAGGGTGCTAAAAAAGTGATGGACATCGAAGGCACCCTTCCTTAAGGGTGTTTTTGTAACACCCTACAGTTTTTTACATGTACACCATATTCCATGCACCCTTTTTGGAAGGTGCTGAGTTAGCACCCTTAGGGTGTCGTCTATGGGACAAGCTCATTTACACCCTTCTGGGTGTAAAAATTTTTACTGTGTGCAAGCTCTCGTTTGTCACTAGTGCAGCCAGTTGATTGATTGATTGATTGATACGTGGGGTTTAACGTCCCAAAACCACCATATGATTATGAGAGATGCCGTAGTGGAGGGCTCCGGAAATTTCGACCACCTGGGGTTCTTTAACGTGCACCCAAATCTGAGCACACGGGCCTACACCATTTCCGCCTCCATCGGAAATGCAGCCGCCGCAGCCGGGATTCGAACCTGCGACCTGCCGGTCAGCAGCCGAGTACCTTAGCCACTAGACCACTGAGGCGGGGCCTAGTGCAGCCAGTTCTGTTTTGTGTAGTGATTTCTGCTCGCGGCTTCATGAAGTAAGAACACCTCATGTGGCACTTCTGTTGCATGGTTGAAAATATATGCGGATTCAGCCAGACGAACAGTGTACGGCTCGCGATTTTATCGATAGCATGCGTCACCATATTGAGATCATTGTGTTGCTAATATGCGTTCATAAACTTGTTCTTAGTTCCAACTTCGTAAAATCTGCTTCCGCTGTTATAGCCTTTGAAGAAAACGTTGTTCACCTCAGTGATACATTGGACGCACTCGTTCCGGTCTTGTGAACCTTAATTTCCAGCTTGGTCATTGTTGAAGACTGCGTCCTGCTCACTGGTCCTGAACTCGTAATCGGTGTCACATCCACCCAAATCGCCAATAGTGATGCATTGGTGCACCTTCCTTTCGCTGCAATTAACTTGAAAATGTTTTAATCTCTTACCTCTCCTGGTTTTCTTGTAGCCGCGCTATTCTCCCCATTTGCAACACCTGCACAATTCATGTTGTTGCCTACGGAAGGATGGCGCCGGTAATAGACACCTTTCCATTAACATTTCGTTGTTATCGCGTTGTTATCTGATTGGGCACGGCGGCACCGGCGAAATGACGGTCACTAACCCGTTTGTCTTTATCGTGCAGTTGTCCATCGGTCTTCTTGCATCCGTGGGTGATGTACGTGCTATGCCAGCACGATTGCCCGGGTACGCGCCGGACACAAGCTTCGTCAACTTCCACGTGACGGAGATAACATGCCCGGCGCCTTGGGACTGCCAGCCCAGATCCGTGACCAGGACCACGTGTGATGATCTACGTCACCAGCACCCAGCGCCGCCTCACAGTGCGCCTATAAGTAGCCTGCCTCCTCGCAGTGCGTCCATTGGGCACGGCGGCACCGGCGAAATGACGGTCACTAACCCGTTTGTCTTCATCGTGCAGTTGTCCATCGGTCTTCTTGCATCCGTGGGTGATGTACGTGCTATGCCAGCACGATTGCCCGGGTACGCGCCGGACACAAGCTTCGTCAACTTCCACGTGACGGAGATAACATGCCCGGCGCCTTGGGACTGCCAGCCCAGATCCGTGACCAGGACCACGTGTGATGATCTACGTCACCAGCACCCAGCGCCGCCTCACAGTGCGCCTATAAGTAGCCTGCCTCCTCGCAGTGCGTCCATTGGGCACGGCGGCACCGGCGAAATGACGGTCACTAACCCGTTTGTCTTCATCGTGCAGGTAAGAAGACAATACGATTACTGTATACGTTCTGGTGACCCATTTTTGCTGGTGCTGCCGTGCCCTCGGCTTTGCTGTGCATTTGCGAGTGTGTTGCTATTTTTAAGAAAGCTTCTTTTGCTAGCAGGAGATATTGAAAGTAATCCGGGACCTGATCTAGCACAAATCGCAAAGCAGTTGAAGGAAGTTGCCGTCGATATCAAAGAAATTAAAGAGGGGCGGCTTGCTGATATGGATAAAAAGTTAGATGCCCTGTCGCGCCTTGAACCGAAGATAACTTCATGCGTAAAACAAATAGAAGACATGCATCTGATTACCAAAAATTTGGAAAAACGAATGGACGACCTGGAAAACCAGAGTAGAAGGTCCAATATTATAGTATACGGCTTAGCGGAAACAGAACAGGAGAACAGTGAAAAGTTGGAACAAGCTGTAAATAAAGGCATTGTTCAGGACATACTCGGCTTACAGCCTGTTACCATAGAACGAATTCATCGTCTTGGAAAACCGGCCCAGAACAAAACGAGACCAGTAATGTTGAGGCTACTTGACTCTAGACAGAAATCAATAATATTGCGGGAGGGACGCAAGCTGAAAAATACGGGTCTCTCTATTGGGGAAGATTTCTGTAAGAGAACACGAGAGATAAGAAGGTTGCTGTGGAATAGCGCAAAGGCAAACCGGGAGCATCATGACAAAGTGTCTTTGTCATTGGACAAACTTTACATAAATGATCAAGTATTCACCTGGGATGAGGGCAAGGGGGAGAGGGTCCCGCTGAGAAAAAACGCCGAAGCAAAACGTCCAAACACGCGAAGCAAAACACAGCCGAGGAACTAACACTACTAAATGTAAACGCCAGAAGCATTTTAAATAAGACTGAAGCGTTTGAAAACCTACTCCTTGCACATAACCCTGATATAGTAGCGTTAACTGAGACGTGGCTTTCCCCGGCTATCTCAGATCACGAAATAGTGCCTCCAAATTATTGCATCATTCGAAAAGACCGACCGTCACGTGGTGGTGGTGTGGCGCTGTTGATAAAGAAATCCCTTCCATTCGTACAATTGCCAGATGTGAAGGAAGCTGAGGCGGTGTTCTGCAGAATCATCTGCAACAGCACTGCCATAATTACAGGCTGCGTTTACCGAAGTCCTGACTCGAACGAAGATTGCGTAAGGAACATACATGAGTTTCTGCAGAACCACGCCCCAAGCCTAAGAATTATCATTATGGGGGACTTTAACTTACCAGACATTAATTGGAACACAAAGGAATATTCATCACATGCTTCCGAAGCGCTGATTGATCTGATGCTAAATTTTAGTCTGGAACAAGTAGTTAGCCAAACAACGCGCTCACAAGGTACTGCAAACAACATACTTGACCTAATACTGCTTAGTGATCACTTTCAACTAAATACATTGCAAACTGGCATTATTGAAGGAATATCCGACCACGATATCCCGATATGCCACCTACCATTATCATGTTCTATTTCGAAAAGGTCCTTTGAAAGCAAAATCATTGACTTTGAGAAATCGAACGACGCTGGCGTTTTGACATCCCTGGCACATGAGTTCACATCATTTTCAGAATTTGCTTCTGATCCGTCGGCAGATATAAATGTCCTCTGGATAAAGTTTAAGGGCATAATACATGACTGCATTACCAAATTTATACCGTTAAAAACTAGGAAACCAAGAAAATACAGCCCATGGGTAACGCGCGAGGTTATACATGCCAAAAGGAAAGTTAAAAGGTTACGTCGTTCACTGAAACATACAGAAAGTCAATCAGTCGTGAAATCTAAGCTGATAGGTGCCAAGCAAGAGCTGAAACAAAAGTTGAACCAGTCACGGAAACAATACTTTAATACAATCCTACCAGATTTCCTAAAAAATAATCCACAGAGATTTTGGAATCACTTTCGTGCACGCAATACTTTGGCGCCAGAACGCACTCATGATGAAAATGCTGTCCAGGCTGATGTATTCAACAAGTACTTTCAATCTGTATTACTACAGATAACGGGTTTCTTCCATCGGTCGTTTCTACAGGCTCCAGCATCGACCCACTTATCATATCTGACTCGGGAATCCTTAACCTTCTACTTGGATTAGATGCTAAAAAATCAAGCGGCCCTGACAATGTTCCAAATGAATTCCTGAAACGATACGCGGAATGGTGCAGCAGATACCTGGGTATTATCTATCGTTTTTCACTATCAACTGCACGTGTGCCAAATGACTGGAGGAAGGCAAAGGTGATACCAATTCATAAATCAGGTGACATAAACTCTCCGTCTAACTATCGACCCATATCCCTTACCAGTACATCATGCAAGATCCTAGAACATATAATTTCAAAACACCTGACAGTATATCTTGAACAAAATCGCATATTAACACCCAGCCAGCACGGGTTTAGACGCGGAATGTCAACAGTGACGCAATTAACGGAAGTTGTTCATGACCTTGCACAGATAATTGACAATCGCGGCCAAACAGACATTATATTCTTGGACTTTAGCAAAGCTTTTGATCGCGTGTGTCACAACAAGTTAATAGCAAAACTAGAGGCAATAATTGGCATCGGAAATATTTCTGCTTGGATTGGCGATTTTTTATCCCAGCGTTCGCAATTCGTCCATTTCAATGAAGCATCATCCGACATTGTTCCCATCTCATCTGGTGTACCTCAGGGCTCGGTCTTGGGGCCCTTGCTGTTTTTAATTTATATTAATGACATCACCACTAACATGGAATGCAACATAAAGCTGTTCGCAGACGACTGCATTATCTATAAAGAAATACTGTGTTACGAAGACCACCACACCCTGAACAGACAACTTAACGTGATAAACACCTGGTGTGAACAATGGCAAATGTCTATTAATACCAGCAAATCTGTGTCAATGACGGTGACAAAAAAAAAGAACCCGTCAGAATTTACTTACTCACTTAACGACACTGAACTAACTAAAGTTTATGAACACAAATACCTAGGACTTACTCTAGCAACCGACCTCAAGTGGAACAAACACATTGCCAACATATCCTCAAAAGCTATCCGTAAGTTATTCTTTCTTAAAAGGTGCTTGAAGTCTGCTCCCACTCCTATCAAACTCCTCAGTTACACAACCTTTGTGCGGCCAGTGCTGGAATATGCTAACACTGTTTGGTTCCCTCACAATATTACTAACATAAATCAACTAGAAAAAGTTCAAAGAAAAGCGATACGGTTCATCCATAACAAATACAAACGTACTGACTCGCCCACTGAACTTCTAGCATCATCCGGTTTAGACACACTGGCAGGCAGAGCAAGACAAGCTCGGTTAAAATTCATGCATAGCCTTCTGCACAACCACTTCAACATAATTTCTTCCAAATATATCACCTTCTCTAGATCCCGGATATCGCGTAATAAACACGATAAAATGTTAACTGAATACTTTTGCAACTCCAACACGTTTAAATACTCATTTTTTCCTACAGCAGTTAGGGAGTGGAACAACCTCGACCCAACAGTAGCTGCCATAGAATCATCATCAATATTTTGTGACGCGATAGGAAATAAGCCCCAACCATGAAAAGGGAAAGGAAAAGGTTTCATATTCATGCAAATTCTTTTTAATGGCTTCTTTGTGTTCCATTGGATTGTATTAACCTTGATTCTTCCGTTGTATATACTAATGTTGTATTAGAGAGAACACTTCTTTGTATGACATGCCATTGTACTGTGCACTGCGTGTATTCTGTTGCACTCACGTTGTTATCTGTATGCCCACCTGCTTTGGTCTCCAAGTGAGACTGGCAGTATTGAAAATAAATAAATAAATAAATAAATAAATAAACATTTATCGCGGCATTGCGCCCGTCTTCGTTACAAGTAACAGCTTCTAGTTCAAGTTATTCCTCTTTTGGGGCTGTCATTGCTTCAGTTGCAACGCCTTCACAGTTGCAAGCGCTAGTGGCCCGTTTACTCAAGCACAATGGCGGCCACTAAAGCAGTGCCACAACACTCTGCCAGACTTTCGTGGTTTCACACTAAATTTAAACTGACGGTTCCCGTGTGATGCGCCTCATTCATAAGGTGTTCCGCATTCAGGACAATGAAAAAACGCCAAGCCTGTGCGGAAGGCGAAGCACAGTCACAGTGAAAGCTATATAAGCGGCCTTTTAGAGCACTTTTATTGGGTAAGTGCTGCAAACACACTTGCTGGGCCCTTACTACGGACGTAATGATAGTAAAGACTCCGTAGTAGACGAGCATTTGCTATGCTAATTTTCGTCATTCTTCAGAGAGGCGTTGTATTCTCTAAACACTTTCAAATAATTTTGTGCCAATTCTTCATGCAGTGGCTGACGACGATAAAGAAATATGCCTGAAGTGGGTATGCGCCGCGGTTAATAGGTTATCAAAAACAACCTTTCGTGATGGGTTGGAGCATTGCACGACCTACTCATTACGCTATTCGCATTGTGTGAGGCCTCGTTGTTCGTTTGGTATTCTAAAAGGATATATTATTCATAATAACGCGATTCATTTTCCGACATCAAATCTGCCTAAGGCAGGATTGCGAGCAAGTGTCAAGCTTCAGCATGGCTCAATGCTTGCATACTGGGATTGCATGCAGTGGCCTCGAATTCAAGCCCACTGTGTCTTTCGTACTAGGTTTTTTTTTCTTATTTCACGATAGTGGTGACGCACCCTGGTGGCGGCGGCGGACAACTACAGCGCCACGCGTGACCCGAGTTTTTATCTCGCAACAACATTCGCTGTAAAAGGAGTGAACGACATGCTGTCGCGAATTATAATATGGCTCGCTTAAAATTCTTGGAGATCTCCAGTCGTTTTAGCAAGATAAAATGTTGAATCTGTTCGTTTCTGCGTTGACTACCAAGTGTTAAATAAGATCACACGCAAGGACGTATATCCTATGACCTGAATAAATGGTTGTTTAGACGCGCTTCAAGAGGTGAAATATTTTTCGAGCCTTGGCTTACGATCAGGCTACCAGTGAATTCCCATGAACGACGCTGAAAAAAACGGCATTTGCTACGCCAGAAACCACTTATGAATTTGATGCAATGTCAATTATTTTGCACAACGCAAACGCCATAATTGAGTGCAATATTGATGCTATTATTCGTGGCCTAAAATGAAAGACCGGCCTTTGTTACTTTTTCATCTACCATAACTCAACATATTCGACTATTAGACGAGGTAGTTCAGTATTTTTCCAAGGCTAGCCTTCAGATAAATACGGAAAGTGTATATTTGCCAGCAAAAGTAACAAAGTCCTCTGTCACGTCGTTTCAAAAGATGTAAATGAACTAGACCCTTACAATATCATGACTTTGCTATCAAAGTGGCTCCAATCAATACGTTATTGGCGTCCAGTGACATCTTATCGGTTTCACTAA